AAAAAAAAAAAAAAAAAAAAAAAAAACAAACCCTCTAGTGGATTCTATTGAACTTAATATTAAAAACGGTGCTTCTTAAATTAAAATGTCCTACAAAACCCCAGAAAAATCATTAAAATTTTTGTTTTAAAAGACCAATATGATCAGGTTTCAGCTTGTTTCTCTTACTTCGTCTCATTTTTTAGTGTTCCCACATGTCCTTGCTCTGGTGGTTTCTTTTTCAAATAACTGAATGCTGATGTTCCATATTGGTGTCACTGGTCAAAGAGATCTACCTAAAAATTCTACCCTTGAGCACTTTGTCACATCATCCTTGGTTTGGTCTTCATGGCCCTTGTCACTGTCAGCCCTTAACCTGTCAGCACCTAGCATAGTGCCAAGTACAAAGGAGGTACTTGGTGAAGCTGGTTGACTGGTGCAGTAGCTGGATAGCCGGGTGAGTGGGAGTCAGACTGTTTTCAGTAGAGAACTTTAGCCATGTTTTTCTTCTCAGCTGCGTCCCAGTGCAAACGTGTATGATCTGGCAAAGAACTTCAACCTTGAGGTGTCCCTTTTTGAACGACTAGTGAAAGTGAATATTCCCTTTGTGCGTCTGAATTACCAGGTGAGATGTTGAGCTTCTGTTATTATCAGATATAGTGGAAAAGGCTCCAGGGAGTCTGCCAGCTGCCAACAGGAAAGATCTCAAAAATAGAATAGACTCAAACTTGTTTTCTGTTTTAAAATGCCACAAGATCACACTGTGTTGAGTTTTATTGGATAAAGGAGCTGTTTACCTTCTTTTCTTTCTCCCTGTTATTTCAGATATTACCTTAGATTTTTCTACCTGCAATCTGGTCTTAGAGAAATTATTCCTTTTTCCTCTACCCAGGTTTCTAATGCCATACATGTCTTTTTCAGCATCGTATGCGTCCTGAAATTGCTCGCCTTTTGACTCCTCATATCTATCAGGATCTAGAGAATCATCCTTCTGTTCTCAAGTATGAGAATATTAAGGTGAGTTTGTCCTCCCTCATTTTCCATGTTGTCAGCAACCTAGGGGGTTATCTTTTCCTCAGAATGAAAACAAGTCAGAGAAGAGCCAATTTTTAAAACAAAGCAAAATGAAACAAAAGCTTGGTTTTGGGAGAACAGTATAGTAGCTGAATGCAGACCAAAGTTTTCGAATTCTAGCTCTGCCACTTAATAGCTGTGTAACCTTGAGCAGGTTACTGTTCTTAGCACCAGGATCTTCTGCACGGTGAGAATAATGGCTCCTGCCTCTTCTCTTTGCTGTACAGGAGATAATCTGTAAAGCAGTCACCACAGTTGAGTACCCAATAAATATTATCATCAGAGCTGCCACTTGTTCTCTTGGTTGTGACAGTTGGATTGTGGATGGCTGTTGTAAACATTAATATCAAATGAGTATCGTGAAAACTAAAATAAACAAACTCTTTGTCCAGCTCATAATTTGCAATAGTCTCAAAACAAAGTAGAGGATAACTAACTTCAAAATTAAAGATTGTGTACAAAATTCTTTCACAGTCTCTCTGGAGCAGTCAGTGACTAGTGCATGTGAAAACAGGAAGCAGAACCAAGTGTCATGTGTAAGCCTTCTAATATGTCACTTCTTTTCCTTTGCAGGGGGTCTCTTCCAACCTTTTCTTTGTAGAACATAACTTCCCTGAACAGGAGATCCAAGAAGGCAGAAGCCATCAGAACCAACATGAGGCTCACTTTGTGGTAGAGCTATGTAAGTACTTCGTGTACCAGGAGTACCTGCCCTCCCAGATCACCATCCTTACCACCTACACTGGGCAGCTCTTCTGCCTGCGCAAACTCATGCCAGCCACGACATTTGCTGGCGTCAAGGTCCATGTTGTGGACAAATACCAAGGGGAAGAGAATGACATCATCCTCCTCTCCCTTGTGCGGAGCAACCAGGAAGGCAAGGTGGGTTTTCTTCAGATATCCAACCGTATATGTGTGGCCTTGTCCCGAGCCAAGAAGGGGATGTACTGCATTGGAAACATGCAGATGTTGGCCAAGGTGCCCCTGTGGAGCAAGATCATCCATACCCTTCGAGAAAACAATCAAATAGGCCAGATGCTCCAGCTCTGCTGCCAGAACCACCCTGATACCTACACCTTAGTATCCAAAGCTTCAGACTTCCAAAAAGTGCCCGAAGGAGGCTGCAGCCTCCCCTGTGAGTTCCGGCTGGGCTGTGGGCACGTCTGCACCCATGCCTGCCACCCTTATGACTCCTCACATAAAAAGTTCCAGTGCATGAAGCCATGCCAGAAGGTCATTTGTCCAGATGGACACCGGTGCCCCCTTGTTTGCTTCCAGGAGTGTGAGCCCTGTCAGGTGAAGGTACCCAAAACCATTCCTCAGTGTGGCCACAAGCAGATGGTTCCTTGTTCAATGCCCGAGTCAGATTTCTGCTGCCAGGAGCCTTGCCCCAAGGTCCTGAGATGTGGCCACAGATGCAGCCATGCATGTGGTGAGGGCTGTGTGCAGTTGTGTCCAGAAATGGTCACTGTAAAACTCAAGTGTGGGCACAATCAACAGGTAAAATGTGGTAATGTGGAAGACCTCAAGTATAATATGCCAGTTGAATGTACTGCCAGATGTGGTACTATCTTAGATTGTGGACATCCTTGCCCTGGCTCCTGCCATAGCTGCTTTGAAGGGCGCTTCCATGTGCGCTGTCAGCAGCCCTGCAAGCACCTGCTCATCTGCTCACACAAGTGCCAGGAGCCATGCATTGGCGAATGCCCACCCTGCCAGCGGACGTGTCAGAACCGCTGTGTTCACAGCCAGTGCAAGAAGAAGTGTGGGGAACTGTGCAGCCCCTGCGTGGAGCCCTGTGTCTGGCGCTGCCAGCACTACCAGTGCACTAAACTTTGCTCTGAGCCCTGCGACCGACCCCCATGCTATGTGCCTTGTACTAAGTTGCTGGTTTGTGGCCACCCCTGTATTGGTTTGTGTGGGGAGCCATGCCCCAAAAAGTGCCATGTTTGCCACCAAGAAGAAGTCACCCAGATCTTCTTTGGCTTTGAGGATGAGCATGATGCCCGCTTTGTGCAGCTAGAAGACTGTAGCCATTTCTTTGAGGTACAAGCACTAGACCGCTACATGAATGAGCAGAAAAATGATGAAATTGCCATCAGGTTGAAAGTGTGCCCTATCTGTCAGGTACCCATCCGCAAAAACCTGAGATATGGAACCAGCATCAAACAGCGGCTAGAAGAGATTGAAATTGTCAAGGAAAAGATACAAGGCTCAGCAGGGGAAATTGCAGTCAGCCAGGAACGACTTAAGGTCCTTCTGGAGAGTAAGAGCCTCCTCCACCAGCTGCTTCCTGAAGACTTTATAATGCTAAAGGAAAAACTGGCCCAGGAAAATCTGTCAGTGAAGGAGCTAGGCCTTGTTGAAAATTACATAAGCTTTTACGACCACTTGGCCAACCTGCAAAATTCCCTGAAAAAGGTCCATGTCTTAGAACAGAGAAGAGTGAGGACTCGACTAGACCAGGTCCATGACTGGCTGGCCAAGAAACGCTTGAGCTTTACCAGCCAGGAACTAAGTGACCTCCAAAGTGAAATCCAGAGGCTTATGTACCTGGTAAACCTCCTGACCCGCTGCAGGATGGCAGAGGGGAAGGTGAAAGGTAGCATAGCAGAAGAAGTCTCCAGTATTCGGAACATCCTCGAGAGAACATCTAAGTTCACACAGGAGGATGAACAGCTTGTGCAGAAAAAGATGGATGCTCTTAAAGCCACCCTTCCCTGCTCTGGCCTGGGCATCTCAGAAGAAGAGCGAGTACAGATTGTCAAGGCCATGGGTTTTCCTCGTGGCCACTGGTTCAAGTGCCCCAATGGTCACATCTATGTGATTAGCGAATGTGGGGGAGCCATGCAGAGGGGCACCTGTCCTGAGTGTCAGGAGGTGATTGGCGGCGAGCATCATACTCTAGAAGGGAGCAACCAGCTGGCTTCTGAGATGGACGGAGCCCAACATCCTGCCTGGTCTGACACAGCCAACAACATGATGAACTTTGAGGAGATCCGGAGGATGATGTAGATGGCACACTGCTGCCTTTTGCCCTGGCCTCCTGCTGGGGTCAGCTTTTTTTTTTTTTTTTTTTTTTTTTTTTATTTTTTTTTATTACTACCCTAAAAGACAGTCTTACCATCTAAGAATCCCCTTTTAGGGCTTGCCCACATTTAATTTTAGATTTATCCCTGCGCTAGAGTAAGCACTTTACCTCCAGAAATGAAAGCAGAATTAACATCTCACTTCTCCTTTTCTGCAAATTAGGGACAGACTCCCTGGGACATAATCTGGGGCTCCCACCTAGGGCTACATAATGGTAATTCCAGGTCCTGACACAGTCATTTGTTTCTTCAGCAGTGTTTCCAAGGCAGAAAGTATGGATCCAGTGAAGCTGACTCATTCTAACTTCCAGGCCCTAACTTGCAGAATTTCTAATAAACAGAGGCCCAGAGTTTATAAACTGCTTATCCCTTCAAGGAGCACAAGAATCCCTGCTGCCCTGCTCCTCAGGCACCCAGCCTCCAGGAGATGGAGTTATGTGATAGACAAAGATTTTGCCACTCACCCTAACCCAGCTACATATTCACTGAAAATGGGAAAGCATCCTCCCCCAGTAAGGGGCTTAGGCAGTAGGCCTAGGTTAAGGAGTGACCCCTGTAGCCTTTCTGTAACTTGCACTTGGACAGGGTTTCTTCTCTTGCCCTAGGAGAGTTGGGTAGCAGGGCTGGTTCCCCTGGGCCTTGAATGGAGCTAAACTCCCATTCAGTGCCAACAGCCCCTCTCCCAAGTGTGAGCTTTCATCCCAGCACCTCACAGCTTTTGTTTGCCTAGGCAGGGTCAGCATGCCAATAGCTTCTGCAGGCATCAGCCCCCGGCCCAAAGCCAGTCCTAGGCCTACACCTGTATCTGCATTCCTTCTGTCCAGGGTCCCTTAGAACAGACACTTAGGCATCTCAGGTCCTTTCTAACGCTGGTCCTTTCCTATGTAAGCATTTCCTTTTTTGTCTTTACTATGCACTTTAGCCTATAAAGCCAGTTAATAAAAACATTGGGAAAATCAGTGGTCCGTGTCTTCCTTTTAGAAGCATCCTGAGCCAATGAGGGGACAGGGTGGGTGCTGCCTGCAATGCTTTTATGGTATGGGCTTCTTGTATTTATTAGAGCGAGTCCTTTCTACCCATGGTGAAAGGAGTTTCCACTCCCAACAAAAGGTATCCGTTTGCTTCGTGGGTTCCCCTAGAGGCAATCTACGCATAAGCAATTTTCCCTTTAGAAGGGTTCTGCAATTGGTGATTTGTTTGTTTGTTTGTTTGTTTGAGATAGGATCTATGTACTTCGGGCTGGCCTTGAACTCAGCAGTCTTCCTGCCTCATCCTCTCAAATGCTGGGATTACAGGCATGTACCACCATGCCTGACTGCACTTGGCTTTTTTTAGCCTAATGGTATTCTAAGGGTCTTTCTTGAAAGCACATTCAGATTTGAGTCTGAACCACATTCCTTCACAAGTATGTCATCACCTTTTAATTGGAACCTGTGTTGGTGACTGCTAAGTGCAGCCTGAATGAATGGCTTTGAATGCATCAATATCCAGGGTATGTACTGCAGAACTATGATTTATTTTGTTTCATTTTGTTTTTTGAGACAGGGTCTCACTATGTAGTTGAGACTGACCTGGAACTCGCTGTGTAGCCCAGGCTGGTTTCAAACTCTCAGCAATCTTCCTGCCTCAGCCTCCTGAGTGCTGGGATTACAAGTGTGCGCCACCACACCGGGCACAGAACTATAATTTCTAAGATGGGGGGGGTCTAATACACTCCCTAAAATTGTGCAGAGCATGAACCACAGTTACTCCAAAAGATGCTCCACAGTTTTCGTCTAACCAGGTGATTCACAAAAGGATGAGAACCATCCTGTAGCTTAAAAGGTGGTTTCTGTGAGGCGCTAATTTATGGAGTCAAAGAGTTCCTTCTGCCCTCTTTGAGCTTCTATCTTTCCAGCAGCACTTCTGTAGCACAGTGCTAAGGGTTAACAGTATGGGTTCGGGTACACTGGTTTCAAAAACCAGAATTACCCACCAGCTGTGCAACCCTGGGAAGTGAGTCTTTCCAAGCTTCTGTTTCTTCAGTGGGGACATGAGAATAACAATTCCTGTCTGACAGGCATGTAGTGAACAGACAGACACAGCACAGCATGCTGAATGTCCAGGACGTGGCTGCTGCTCAGTAACACCTTTAGTTCTGGACTACTAACAGAAGAATGTAAAATAATAAAGAGCAAAAAACAGGAGAATGTTTCCCTAGCAAGCATCTCCTCTCTCTACACCCAACCCCGGTAGAAGAATAAACAGTATGCATTCCAAGTGTTCATGACAGAGCCAGCATATACCGCCACCAAGGGCAGAGATACTAAACTTAACCCCCCTCATGCAACTAGAAAGCTAACAAAAACAGGGGTCTTGGGTAATGATGCTTAGGAAACATGCATATCACTGCCCCAACTTTTAATTTTTTCTAATGTACCAATGACAGGCTTTTTAAAACTTTTTTTTTTAAGCAAATGGAGACAATATAAACCAAACCAGGATGACTTCCCACAGGGAAGGGATTTAAGGCTGCATCACAAACTTCTTCAGGCCATCACAGCTACTTCCTCCTCTTGTATCTGTTTTAAAAAAGGAAAAAAGAAAAATCAGGACAGTAAGATGAGAAAGAGGAAGCAGCAGCTCCCCTTTTTATGAAAGGTTTATTCTCCAACCACATAGAGCCGCTGGGCCTCCAAAGGTGTATACGTCACCTGGACTTGGACTTGAAGTTTCCTCCTTTTCTCTGGTGGGGCAAACCAAACTGTTTCCTTTCTTCAAAGGAAGGGCTGAGTGAGAGAAAAGGAGGTGCTGAAACAGGCCAGCTGCTGGGTACTCGGGTGATGTCACCCCTTCAACCCCCAGCTGCGTAAGAAAAGCAGCATCACTGCATACGCGGTGTTCAGGGCCTGGAATCCAAGTCATATGTTTGTACCTGACAGCATGCAGTTCCTGAGTCAGGCCCCAACTTTATTGTTTATTTGTTTGTTTTTTGTGGTACTGGGGCTTGAACTTAGGACCTTGTGCTTGCAAGGCAGGTAGCGGCACCTGTGAGCTAAATCCCCGGCCCCAGGCCCCAACTTTAAAACAAACTTAGAGGAAGTCCTTCCTTTATCTGTACATACTAAGACTACCTGAGAAGCAGTGTGTGTCTCCCCACCACCATAGGATGGATGAATGTGATAGGATAACATATAGCCAAAGGCAAGCCAAGATCCTTTGGGGTTCTTTAGTCTGATCCTGAGGTAATAGTTGTTACTCCTCCCCTGAGAGTAAGCTCTATTTCTGAACTTGAAAATGGGCCATCTCATCTCCAAGGCAAGAGGGCTGTAAAACTGCAGATAGCAGTGGTTCTTTAACCCCTCTTCCTCTTGTTTTCACTCTGGGATCCACAGGCAAGCTTTAGCAAGTGTGGGGGACAGACAGGAATCCCTGAGTTTATATATTATAGAGCTTAAGTATTTGAGAAATGGGACTGGGGAATGAAGTAAAAGATTTATAATTTCCATAGAAATACCAAAGATTCAATGACCACTTAAAACCCTACCCAGCTCGATACTGTTTTAGGGCCTTCTTGCTCGTGTTGGTGAGTTCTTCATCAAATACAGATTTCTTCCTTGGATTTTGCTTCTTGTCTGTGAACAGAGAGAATGGGTTAGATATGGTCCTCTTTGGCCCAAGCTCCTAAGCTAGTTAAAGCCCTATGTAATGATTCCAAGTTCAGTGGACAGTCTGGCACCCAAAGACTGTTCCCCTCATTCTACCCTCACAGGCTCCTCTTAAGTCATAGCCAGGAAGCAGGTGGGCTCCAAAGTCAGGTCGAGGTTCAATCGTAGCTCTTCCACCAACATCAGTGTCACTCCACCCCTTAAAGCCAACAAAGGGACATTCCCATTCACTGGTATATACCGATTACTCAGAAAATGTGGGCCACTGTTCTTATCCCTCAAACCTTCTCCCTGACTATACGCTTGGCTTCAGCAGTGCTCCCCAACCACCTACCAGGGGCTTTCGCTGGTTCCTCCTCAGGCATTGCCCTGGCCCGCCTGGCTCTGCGATTCCTCTTGGCCAGCCGCTCAGCAAACATCTGTGCCTTGAGGATTTCAAACTGGGACCTTTCCTCTGCCTGGGGGAAAAGGTGAGGGGTGACCAGATGTCTCTGACCCACCCATTCGTGTAACCAAACTCCAAAGGGGAGGCCACTCACTGTCATTTCTCCCTTTTTCTTGGCATCGTTCATAAACTTCTTCCTTTTCTTTTTTCCTCTTAAGGCCAAGTCAAACTCCTGCAGGGCCTTAGCAACTGAAATAAGAATACAGCATGAAATGTCAGGGACTGCTTCAAATTTTGTACGTTTACAAACAGAAGGACAACTATTTTGTTTTTTTGGGGGGGTTCTTGTTTTGTTTTGTTTTTGTTTTTTGAGACAGGGTCTCACTATGTAGTTGAGACTGACCTGGAACTCACTATGTAGCTCAGGCTGGTCTCAACTTCACAGTGATCCTCCTGCCTCAGCCTCCCAAGTGCTGGGATTACAGGCGTGCACCACCATGCCCAACAGGACAACTATTTTAAACTGGTACCTAACACCTTAAAATGAAAAGCAGCAGTCCCTCTAATGATTACCTTCATCTCACTAAGCAGCATGCCTGTCTTACTACTGCTCATTAATCCATTGAAGGCATTCATTATCTACTGACCTTCTGCCAGGGAACATGAAGATCTGACTTACAATAAAGAGTCCACTCCTTCCTACCAGTATACTTGTATCTGTCATTTTGACATGGAAATGTAACGTACATACACCATTCTTGTCCCTTCAAATATAAGCGGTATATCTGAAATTCCCAGTACAATATTCACAAAAAGTGATTTTGCAATTTCTGCAAAATTAACAATATGTGTATCCTCTGCCCTACAAGTCTACTTTAGGAACTTATTTCGGCATGTCAGATACACTTGCTTAATTGCAAAAGGGCACATGTCTCAAGGCTCACCTTGTGGCATGTTTCAGGACTTCATTATAGATGAATAATGTTCCAATGAGCACATGTGAAACATATATATCACTTGTTCACCCCTCAAAAAAAATTTTTTTCCTGTACCAGGGATCGAACTCGGGATCTTGTGCTTGCAAGGCAGCTGGCGGAACCACTAAGCTAAATTCTTGGCCACTCCTCGACTTCTAATGGACATCTCTGTATCGTTCCAATTTTAGTATATGTGCTGCCTAAGTGAGCACTTGATGGACATCTGTTTCCACCTTTTGGCCACTACGACTAGTGCTTCAAAGAACATGGCATACAAGTGACCGTAGGAGCTCCTGTTCTCAGTTCTTATGAGTATATACTAAGAGCAAACCACTGAATCCTATGGTAATTCTATACTTTCTTTTTTTTGTTTTTTTTGAGACAGGGTCTCCTGTAGTCCAGGCTGGTCTCAAACTCATGGCGATCTTCCTGCCTCAGCCTCCCAAGCGCTGGGATTACAGGTGTGCGCCACAATGCCTGGCTAGGTTCAGCTTTCTGAGGAATCTCCCTGACTTACTTTTTTCCTTCTTCCTCTCCTCTTTAGTCTGGAACCAGCTCCTCTCAGGTTCTTGGTCTGGTGCCTCCTTCCCCTTCTCCAGAAGCCGCTTGGCTGTGTTGATCTGTGGGAGAGTACAGGACATGTGCCATAAAGACTGTACCTGCTAATCCACAACATGGCAGCTGCAGACAGCCACTGCCTACAAACGCTGAGGGTTCTGATGGTTTGTCAGCCTTTCAAAGGTGGGGCCGTGGGGACTCCTGACACTGGGCAACCTCGAGGCCTCATCACCATCACAGCCTCACCTGGGCTTCCGACTGCTGCATCTCTCTTTCCTCCACTTCCAGCTGCAGCACTGCATAAATATCTTTCTCCATCTTCTCAATCTTGTCCCGGAATTTGAGGATAACATCTAAGGAAGAAAATAAAAGGGACATTAATAAGGGTAAATACTATGAGGCCAATACAATACTGTAAATATTTTCTGACACAGGAAAGTGTGGTTCTTAATATGTGACATTTCAATTTAACATTCCCCCATTAAGAGCTGGACAAGGCCTACAGTCCAGGGAGGCTGAGGCAGGAGGACAACTTGAGGCCAGGAGTCCTGAGTCAGCATGGGCAACATAACAAGACCCTATCAAAAAGAAAAAAGAAATAAACCTGACTTCCCCACTACCTCAGAAATCTTGCGCTCTTTGAATCGATCCTGAACTCCTAATAGTGTCCCTGTCTACCACTCTAGATTTCTGTTCCCTAGCTCACTATGCCCCAGACCCTCTAACATTCCTTCTCTTTTACCCACACACACCAAGTTCATTCTCACCGCAGAACCCTTGCCTGTGTCCTCTCAGTGGACATACTCTGATCGCTCAAGGCAGCCTCATTCTTATCATCCAGGACTGAGCTCCAAGCCAGCTGCTCAGAGGCCTTACCTGAATAGTTTTTCTAAAGCAGGCCCCCTCCTTCTTCCTACAATTGTTATCCTCGACTGCATGGACCATTAGCTTATTTACTATCTCTTTCTCCCCCAGAACATCAGGTGCTCTAGCCTTATCTCCTGGACAAGACTGGAACAGCTTGCTAATGGGCAGACTGCAATAAAAATGAGACAAAAGGACATCTATAAGCTAGGTCTGGTGGCACACACCTGTAATCCCAGGAGGATGAGGCAGGAGGATTGCCACAGGAGGCCATCCTGGGCTACACAGTAAGTTCAAGGCCAGCCTATGCTAAAAGGTGAGTTCTTGAATTATACTTTTATTATTTTTCATATATATTAATATATAATGAACATATTATTTTTGTAACACCAAGGAAAAAAGTAGCTAGGTGTGGTAGTGCATACCTGTAATCCCAGCACTCAACAAAACTGAGGCAGGAGGATTACAAATTTGAGCCCAGCCTGAGCAATTTGGCAACTTAGTAAGACACTATCTCCAAATTTTAAGATGTCAAAAAGAAAAAAAAAAAAATGTTAAAAACGGTTGGAATGTAGCTCAATGCAAAGACCCTAAATTCAAACCTCAGTATCAAACACACACACAGAAAGTAATATAAAAGATGTTTGTCCTTTATATGACCCCCATGAATCAGAGGATCAAAAAGAATGAAAGCTACCAAAAAATTATGAGTGCTTTTCTTCCCTACCCTCTTCCCCAGCAACAGAAAGAGGAAGATTAAAGGCAGGTGTGGTGGAGCATGCCTATAATCCCAGCACTTGGGAGGCTGAGGCAGGAGGATTGCTGTGAGTTGGAAACCAGTTTGGGCTACACAGTGAGTTCCAGGTCAGTCTCAACTACATAGTGAGACCCTGTCTCAAAAAACCCAAACCAAAAACAAAACTAAAAAAAAAACGAGGAAAGTTAGTGGGAATTTTCCCCGTAGACAAGATCTTTTCCTCTCAAGTTCTCCTAGGAAAGTACCTGTGAGTAGATTCTTCATTTACATTTCTATCATCCATCCCTTTCACACATGGAAGCCTGCGAAGCCCAGAGAAATGAAGTGAGACCTGCCCAGGGGTCTCGGCAGGGAGACAGCGAACCTGGGACTCAAGCTGGTCCCGAATGCAGAGTGCTGCTCTCAGCTGTCACCCTGTGCCCCTGCCCTGCAACAGGCACCTTGTGCTAAAGACATCTGTGCCTCCTCACCCTGGGGAAGAATCCGGGCCTTCACGGGGGCCTTGGCGGCCTTCACAATCTCTTTCAGCATCTTCCGCTCCTCTTCTCCCACCAGAGACACAGAGCGCCCAGCCCTGCCAGCACGTGCCGTTCGTCCCACCCGGTGCACGTAGTGCTTGATTGTGTTGGGCATGGTGAAGTTGATTACCTGGAGGGTTGGAATCGAGCATCAGTCAGATGGGGAAGGGGCACTGCGAGGAGGCAAAAAGATCCACCAAGTACAAGGAAGACAGGACCCGCTCACCGTTTTGACCCCTTCAATGTCAAGTCCACGGGCTGCCACATCGGTGGCCACAAGGATATCGATCTGTTCATCCTTAAAGCGTCTAGAAATAGCCGCAGAGATACTTACTCAGATACCCTACCCCAAAATGCTCCCCCAGAGCCTGGGCTACCAGACAACAGAATCACCGTAAATCAGAGTCAAGGAGCAGAGTAGGGACCATCATAGTGGTGACAGGGTCTAAATGTCAGCCCATCCAACTTCCACACTCACACTTGACCCACTGTGTAGGGCAGAGATAGTTCCGTATGTACTACCTCAGGCAGGAAATCCCGCACAGACTCATATGTGAAAACCTCTGAGCTAGACTAGAGGAAAGAACAGAGGCAAATGTCTCGGTGCTCACACTGGCCTTGCTTTAACACACACCTCTGAGCACCTGTGATCAGCAGGGATGGAGGAGGGTTATGTGATAATCAAATGGAAAAAATCACACAGAAGTCACAGCACCTGGCAAAGCAGATGCTCAAGTGATGACTGCTGGCTTCAAGTCTAACTCCTGTCCAATTGGACCCAAGTATGTCCCTGCTCTGGGAAAGCTGCAGAACAGACTGGTGTATTTCCCAGTGTCCTGCTGCACCCCCACTTAACAACTCTCACACAGGATAAGATCCTGGGCGTGAGGGTTATCATCCATGAAGACAAAGGCAGAGTTCTAAATGCATGGAAGACATAACCTTACTGTGCTCAGATTAAAAAAAAAAAGTTGTTTTTTTTTAATGAGGTATTGCCATGTTTCCCAGGATGGCCTCAAACTCTTGGGCTCAAGCGAACCTCCTGCCTTAAGTCTGCTAGGCAGCTGAGACTGTAGGCACTACCCACCACCTTAGCTTAAATTTTTTTAAAGCACAGCATAACGCTGTACCTACTACTGCTCTAATATAACCTTCTGGGTCCTACTTTTCTGTCTCTGACCTGCCCAAGGAGGGTTAGGGAGTGTCAGCCCTTGCCCAGAACATTACCGGAGGGCCTCCAGCCGCTGGGTCTGTGACAAGTTGCCATGGAGCTCACCCACCTGCAGCCCCAGGAGCCCCAGGAGGATGTGCAAGCGGTGGGCCTGCTTCTTGGTCTGAGTGAACAGCATCACGTGGTCAGTGAAGGTTCTCGTCAACAGAGCTAGCAGGGAAAAAGAGTGAGGCAGCGGCTGCTTTCAGGTTCCTACACAACTCACACCCTCTCCTCACCTGAGAAGGCAGGCTACCCTGTGGACAGTGATAAATGTCAGAGTGCAGAGTGGTGGGATGAGAGGTCTCAAGCAGGCAAATGTGGCAAAAGTCACCAACAAGCCTCTCCAGTTGGGGACTGCAGGCAGGCAGGTACTGGAGGGTTCTGAAGGACACTACGGAGTTCGAATTTCTGTCTAAGAGCAGTGGAAGCCACCAAAGGGTGTTAAATAACAAAATAAAAAGAGCAAATGTTCTTTTGTAAAGACCTGATGTGCAATGTGAAGGATGAATTACAAAAGGCCGAATGGAAACAAGAACAGCAAATAAGAAGCTGCAGCAACAATCCAGGCACCAGGCAGCAATGTCTGCACCGAAGGGCCGGAGCAGCAGAGTTCAAGACATAAAGCAAGACTAGATGGCAGGAGGGAGGCAAAGTGGTGAGAGCAAGGACTCATGGAGAGAATGCTGGAGCGAATGAAAAGTAGTGCGGCTCCCTTGAGCTAGGAGAGACGGATGGAGGAGGCAAGCGGGCAAAAAGCATGTGTTTCAGTGTAAACCCCCACGATGCAGTCCTGCCCTCAACATTCACCTGCAACAATGGCTTCCCGGTCCCCTTCCCGATTAGGCCGGATCCGTACGAACTCCTGCCGCAGGAAAGGAGCCACGTCTGTGTTGCTGTTCACAAATATCCGGACAGGATTCTTGAGTGAGACTGAAGCCAGATCTTTCACCTGCCAAGCAAAAGCCAGGGATGCTCAGCTCTCCGACCGGAGGTGAAGGGCTCACCCAGGCAACTCCTCTCAAGGCCAGCTGAGGTCCTCTGCACCACCCTCTGTGACACACCTCATCCGTCATGGTGGCTGAGAAAAGCATGGTCTGACGGTGGTGGGAGCACATTCGGATGATCTCTTTCATCTGCTCCTCAAAGTACTCGTCCAGCATCCTGGAGAGGCAGAGAGGAAGGACATGCAAACCGGGGGGTGCTCGGTGAGGGACAGAGAACACCATACAGGCCGTGGTTCTGCTGTCACTGGTTATATTTACAGCTCTCCTATTTTATTTTATGATAGTTATTCTACCCTTTCTCCAAGATTCACCAAGAATTATCATAACGCCACATTTACTTTCTTTTTTTGTTAACCTCTTTGCAAGTCACAGATGTCATGACATCTTACCCCCAACTACTGCAGCACTAATCTAAGAAAAATGACCTTCGGCTGGGGATTTAGCTCAGTGGTTCCAGCGCCTGCCTTGCAAGTGTAAGGACTCAAGTTTGATCCCCGGTACAAAAAAAGAAAAACGACCTACTTAACCACGATGTCACAGTCACACCCAAGACATTTAAGTGTCTGAATAAATCTAAAGTATAGAACAAGGGCTGGGGTTTTAGCTCAGCATTTCTACCACCTGCCTCACAAGCACAAGATCCCAAGTTCGATCCCTGGTACCAAAAAAAAAAAAGTTCTCACTGAAGTACAGGCCATATTCAAATTTCCACAACTGTCCCCAGAATGTGATTTTACAACTGTCTTTATTTGAGTCTAAGAATCAAAGCTCCTGTGTGGCAAGTGGCTGCATTTCTTGTCTCTATCTAGTCTCCTCCCTTCACCTAGAAAGTTCCCTCAGCCTTGTTCACGCTTTGGATTTGTCTAGTTGTCTCCCAGTGAGTGGATTCAGAAAAACCATCATTGGGCAAGGTCATGCCCTTCACTCTTGCTGAAAGAGAAGTCATTCCAAGGAGGCAAAGGTCATTCCAAGGAGGAGAAGGTCATTCCAAGCAGAAGGAAGAACACTGCAGACCCCTACAGTGGGGGTGCACTGACAGGACTCACCAGGAAGAGACAAGGACAACACTAGGAGTTTCAGCCAGAACAACTGGAAGGGTGGAGCTGCTCCTGCTAAGCCAGGGAAAGACAGGGCCAGCCACACCGGGTCAGAAGGTTGCCCAAGAACTTGCTTAGTTCTAAGATGCCTGCATGTGCAAGTCAACCTTCACATGTTCTGACTTGTCTGTGACTTCCCTGCCCCAATTCTATCCTCAGTTCAGTTCACTTGGCTCAGCTGAAGGAAAGAGATGAGCAGATGGGACATATATGAGAAAAAAGGAAGCAAGAGACAGAGAGGTAGAAAGTGGAAGGGGAGAAGGGCGGGCATCGCCGTCACAGTCGTGCAGACAGCCTGTGGAGGCCTCACTACGCACGACACTTTCCCTGTATTACCACTTGATGCCTCCTCACTGTCAGCTGGGTACTATTCCTGTCTTCGTGTACAAACAAGGAAAGGTTCTGTTTTGAGAATCTTATTAACATCCCAAATCTCAGACAAGACGTGGCAGAGCCCATATTTGACCTACCATATCGCTTAATCATTACGGAAAGAGGGAGAAAACAAACAAACAAACAAAAAAAAATAGCAAAAACATCTAGCCTAAGCCTGGACAGAGGTCCAGTGAGGATGGCTAAAGGGGTATCGCACACCCATGGCTGACAGCTCTGTAGCATAACCCAGGCTGGCAGCTGCTACGTCCAGGGATGTGCCCCTCAGGGCCTGATTCACGGGACCCTCCAGCCCCACCCTGCAGGCATACCTGTCAGCCTCATCCAGGATAAGCACCTCAATGCTGCTCAGGTGGAAGGAAGGGCAGTTGTGGAGGTGATCAATGAGCCGACCCGGGGTGGCAATGAGGATGTCAGGTGCTGTCCGAAGAGCTGCTTCCTGCGACTTCACATCTAGGCCCCCTGTGAAGCGGAGAGCCCCACCAGGTGGCCAGGTCAGTGGGTCATTCACCAGTGTCAACCCAACACCTGCCACCTTCCTTTGCTTTAGCCAGATGCACGGTAAACCAAGAACAAGACTGACAGAAGCCTCACCCACATGGATTTTGCAATACATTGGGAGAGACACATTATTTCATTATAATTGGACTAAGTGCAAAAACAAAAAATGATAATGGCCCCAAAACACTTCAGAATAGAAGGACCGAGAGAAGCATCTGTGAAAACTGTTGATGTCTCTACACAAGCACAAAAAACACTTTTGGTTTGTTTTTGTTGGTTTTTTTTGAGACAGAATCTCACTATGTAGCTCAGGCTGGGTTTTTTTTGTTGTTTTTTTGTTTTTTTTTTTTTTTGTACCAGGGATTGAACTCAGGTCCTTGCACTTGCAAGGCAGGCCACTGAACCGCTGAGCTAAATCCCAGGCCCATTTTTTTGTTGTTGTTGCTCGGGCTGGTTTTAAACTCGCTTTGTAGCCAAAGGTAGCCTTGATCTTGCAGCAGCAATCCTCCTGCCTCAGCCTCCTGTGTGGTGGAATCACCTTTAAATTCCAATTATTTAACAAGGGAGAGGGGAGGGAAAAAGGAAGGAATGGACAAGAAAAAAAAAAGTGAAAATAGAAGAAAAAAATGAAAAAAAAATTTAATGAATAAATCCCAATTATTTAATAAGGAGGGCAAAATGCAGGGTAGATAACATAATCATGTAACTTCATATAAGGAAAGTTTGCCCCAAATACTGATTCATGGGGCCAGGGATTTAGCTCAGTGGCACCATGCCTGCCTTGCAAGCACAAGGTCCTGGCAGCCCCCATGCCTGGAAGAGCAGAGCACATCTGTCCTCCCCAACAGCAGAGCCTGGTGGGGGCTGGCAGTCCTCAGCCCCTAAACTCACCCACAGCCAGGCAGGTGGTGATGCTGCAGAACTGCGCTAGCTGCCTGGTGACGGAGTGCACCTGGATCCCCAGCTCCCGGGTGGGAACTAGCACCAGCACTCGGGTGACTGGGGCCTGGCGGGGCTTGTAGATCAGACGCTCGAGGACTGGCAGAGCAAAAGCTGCAGTTTTACCTGGAGAGGGCAGCAGGAAAACAAAGAAAGGTTCAGTTCCTTCTAGCTTTTGGCTTTCACTTGAGCACAGTAAGCCTGTCTGGTCAGAACAACATGAAAAACATTTTTCATAGAGCTCTGCTGCTTTCAAACTATACAGTCAATGTAAATACACCTGGGAAGTACAAAGAAGCATGAAAGTAAGAAAAATCACCTAGAAGGCAGCCAACCAGAGACAAAATTCTGTTTTGCAGTACTAGGGATGGAAGCCAGGGCCTCACAAATGCTAGGCAAGCACTCTGCTGCTGAACAACAACCCCATCCGAGACAGACATTACTGTCCTGCAGTAGGTAGGATGTTACCACCAAGTGAAGGATCAAAGGAACTCTAGTCACTATTTTTTTTTTTTTTTTGGTTTTTTGAGACAGGGTCTCACCATGTAGTTGAGACTGACCTGGAACTCACTATGTAGCCCAAGCTGGTCTCGAACTCATAGCAATCCTCCTGCCTCAGCTTCCCGAGTGCTGGGATTATAGGCGTGTGCCACCATGCCTGGCCTCTAGTCACTATTTTTCTTACTTCTCATTGCTCTACGATCATTTCAAAATAAAAGGGGGGAGATATACCTACGTATTGCGTTTGAATTGAAATATATTTCAATTGCATATGTATTTGTAAACACTGGCATGTCCAGTGTTACTAACACAGTAGTGGGCTCAGATTCTGGGGGAAGAGGGGCAAACTGAAGAGCTGAGGGTGCTTTTTACTGTATTTTTTGTTTGTTTGTTTGTTTTTTGGTATCGGGGAACGAACTTCGGCCCTCGTGCTTGTGAGGCAGGCGGTGGAACCACTGAGCCAAATCCCCAGCCCTACTATATTTTTTCTAATGTATTTGATTTTTTAATGAGCCAGGCCTTGTCAGCCTCTGAAAAGCCTTGCTTACAAGCATCTTTATTTCTTTAGCACAAGTTAGTATAAACAGGCTAACTGACAATTCTTTTTTTTAACAGTTCTTAATAAAGCTTTCAGAATTGGGCCATGGATTGCCAAAGTGTCTCCAAAAAGAATGTGTGAACAAGCTAAATGTGGCAATTCTCGATCTTTTACAAAAAGAGGCAGACATGACACCCACTAGGCCCCATCACTTGCTATGTGGTTTGGAAGGGATCAAGCACTTCTTGGGGAGCCTGTGTTACAAGAGTAACACAGGAGGTGATGACCACACACACTGCACTGCTGTCCTGTGTCACCTGTGACCTGAAGAGAGAGGCTCAGAATCACTGGGCCATCCCATTCAGGTTCACAGGACACTGATTCCTGGGCTCTACAGAGCGAATGGCCCAAATGTCCTGGTCCTTCAAGCTGTGTATGTGCAGTAGACTGGATCTATATTTCGTCTTCATCATAGCATTTTAAAGACTAGACTGTTCAGTCTGTTTTGTTCTGTTTTTTTGTACTGGGGATCAAGCTCGGGACCTTGCGCTTGTGAGGCTAAATCCTCGGCCCTAGATTATTCAGTCTATCTCTGTCCCAGCAGCTGCAGGGAGCTGGGTAAGAGGGGTGACCTGCAGGGGCCAAGAAGACAAGACCTAGTCTGCTCTAGCTCCTGTGCCCGCTCTAGTTGGGCTGGCAGGGGCTGGCAGTCCAGGACGTGCAGGCTGCTGTCTCATTTCTTGGTCTCCTCCACAACAGAGGACCCTTACTGTCTCCCAAGTTCCATCGAGCTACATCTTTGGGGTGGGGGTAAGCAGGGTGCACAAGAAATGTCAATATGCTTTAAACTGGTCACCTCAGAGTCCCCCTAGGTTCAAAAGCCATTAAACCACCAAGTGAGTATGAATTGCTGTAAACTTTGTATATCATCCACAATTCCAAGCATGTTTCACAGACCTTTTGGGTATAAGAAGGGACCGTGCCTCCACCCACCACGACCCCGTCTCACCTGTCCCAGTGGCTGCACAGGCACAGATGTCCTTCCCTAGCAGACCCACAGGGACGCATGCCTTCTGGATTGGTGTGGGCTGCTTGAAGCCCATGGCTGTAATGGCCTGAAGAGAACACACAGTGACAAGTGGGCCTGGCAGAACCTCAGCAGGGAATAAATAGAGTGAGCGTCCAGAAGTGACTCTCTCAGTCCTGTCAGGCATTCAGTCCACACACAAACGGGGAACCTACCATGTGTGAGGTGCTGTTCTATGCACTGAGCATATAGCAATAAACAAAACAAAAAACAAAAGCCCTGCTCTCAGGAGGCTGACAATCTGGCAGAAAAAGACAAACGAAGAGACAAGTGTATGTCACACGTAAATACATGCTTTCGACAAAAAGAGCAGTCAAGGGGCCATGGAGGAAAGGGAGGTGCAATTCACAATAGGGCTGTCAGGGAAGGTACTGCTGAACCCCAAAGGGGTGAGAGAGTACCCAACGGACCCCTGCAAGAAGTCTTCCAGGCAAAGGGAAGCAAATATAAAGGCCTGGAGAAAGAGACTGCCTGACCTAGCTGAGGGCCAGCAGGGTCGTGTGGCCAGAGCAGAATGAGCAGAGAGATGCTGTCAGGAGGGACCAGAGGGGCAGAGTGTTTTAGATTAATGGAAGGAATGTGACTTCTTTCCCAAGTGAAAGTGGGAGCCATCAAGGGCTCAGAGAAGAAGAGGGACAGGATGGAATTTACTGCCTAAGAGGGCTCTCTAGCAACTGTGCAAACAAGAGAGTTGAGAGAGCCAGGACTCTACTAAGGGGGCACTGCAAGCATCAACCCAGAGCCAGGTGTGGTGGCGCACATCTGTAATCCTAGCACTCTGGAGGCTGAGGCAGGAGGACCACTATGAGTTCAAGACCAGCCTGAGCTACATAGTGAGTTCTACGTCAGTCTCAACTACATAGTGAGACCCTGTCTCAAAAAACAAACAAAAAAAAGATCAACCCAGGCTCCCCAAGAAGACTTACCTTCAGAAGAGGCCGGGAGAGGTTCATGTCCTGGAAGGAGAGATTGTCATCATACTGAGATGCATCTTCAAAGAATCCTCCTGCTTCCTACACAAGACCAAGAGATACAGGATGAACATTCAGCAAAAGCGTCCACGAACACCACAAGTTTAAAATCCTTTCAGATTGCCCAAGTGAGCTGCCCTGTTTCCCAAGCTCACCTGTCCTTTCTTCTTCTTCTTCTTCTTCCGCTCCTTTACTTTGAGTGTATCTAGGGAGAAAAACCCAGCTGATGCTCACAGCTCATACACACTGAGCACTCGCATCTGCTCCACACTGTCCTGGTATTTTATGTGGGCCTCCTCTGAGCCCACACATCTGCCTCACTTCCCAGACACGGACAATGAGTGGCAGTGCAGCTGAGTGACTTGCCTGAGGTAGACAGAAAGCAGAGCAGCCAGGCACAGTCCAGAGACCAGCTCTCAACACTGTCCCACACTGTGGTGCTTTACATACATTTCTACCGGCAACACTGAGCTACATGGGGGAGCCCACTGGATAAAGGTAACTTCGAAGAAGTTTGAGTCACAGCCATCTGGCAGCTGTGTGTGGCTACAGACGGGGAAAGAGGAAGCTGCCTACAAAGTATAACAACCTGAACAAAATGCCAAGGGAAGATAAAACCTTGAACATAACAGCAGGGAGATCCTACCGTACATAAGAGAAAAGGAATTCCTACCAAGTAGAAGTAGAGGCTCCCAACTTCCAGTCCCATTTCTTTTTGTGTGTGAGTGGTACTAGGGATTGAACCAAGGGTCTCCAGACTGAGCATTATCCCCAGCCCCGTTTTTTTTTTTTTTTTGGTACTGGGGATCAAACTCATGACCTTGCGCTTAAGAGGCAGGCACAGTGCCACTGAGCTAAATCCTCAGCCCTCCCACCCTTTTAAATGGTTTTGTTTTGTTTTGCAATAGAGTCTCACTAAATTGCAATAAAGTCCTGGGATTACAGGCACAGTCCACTGTAACGAGCTCCAGTCCCATTTCTCACAGCCCCACCATGACGTCTACCTGCTTTGGTGAGGATGTTCTCCTCCGCGGATGAGTAGTCAGTCTCTGATTCTTCATCTGCGGAGCCTGCTACTTCCTCTTTCCCTTTAAGGCCTGCCTGCTCCTCCGGGTCAGAGACCTCCTGAGCTTCTTTCTCCTCCAACTTCCCTGATTTGGCTTCTTTATCCTGGACACAGAATTCAAAATAAAGCAAAGTGACTACAAATTTCAGGAAATTCAGAACCTAAAAGGAGCACTCTTGAGCTCTACAGCCTGGACACGTTGCTGTGTGCTTCCTAGTGAATGTAGATGACAAGCACACAGCAGGGCACCTGTGTGAGCTGCACCCAGCTCAGGCTCAGAGAGAAACAGTGCTTAGGGTACAGCTCACAGCACAACAGTGAAAAGTAGCTGTGTTTCTTTCTCACCTCCGTTTTCCTTTTCTTTCGCACTTTCTCAATCTTCTCATCTAAGGTAGTGGCTGCCCTCTGCAGATAAAAATAGAGGAAAAAGAAACAGTCATGTAAGAAAGCGACCAAGCAAGTCTTGGCATGTCAGGTCTCGACAGTAATACAGAAAGGGCCTCTCGGGCCTTAGACGAATTAATAAATCTGTAGGTTATTTACAGGCAAAAGGGAGAAAGAAGTATTACATAAATAGTACATTTGTAAAAAGTAAAAACCTTTCAACTAACAGAAAGCAATTCAAACATGCAGTAGGGCTGCGCGTGGTGACACACACCTGTAATCTCAGCACTCGGGAGGCTGAGGCAGGAGGATCACTGTGAGTTCAAGACCAGCCTGGGCTACATAGTGAGTTCCAGGTCAGTCTCAACTACATAGTGAGACCCTGTCTCAAAAAATCAAATAAATAACAACATGTAAATGGTTTGTTTGTTTTGGTTTTAATTTTTGTTGTTTCAGTGTGTTTTCTGGAGTTATCTTGTTTTGTGTTTGTGTAACTGGGGACTGAATCTACCACTGAGCTACAACCCAGTCGTTTGAGTTATTTATTTGTTTGATTGAGACTGGGTCTTGCTATGTCATCCATCCTGGCCTTGAACTCACTGTATAGTCTAGGCTGGCCTCAAACTTGTGCTACTCCTCCTGCCTCAGCCTCCCAAGTGCTGGGATTACAGATGTGCACCACAGTGCCCAGCATAACAGCCTATTAATTAAAATGTTGAAATGTGAGTAAATTCAGATAATGCTGGTATTGCTAAAACATCAAAAGAGGGTAACTAATGGAAGCCCCTTTTATATATGTTCATAGCACCCTGCACCTTTATGGCATTTGCCACAAATGTAATTAATTGTACAATTAGCTGTCCAATTATTTTGTACCTTGCTAAGCTATAAGCTGCTAAGACAAAGTCCTTAGTCACATGGGACCGAAACAGTAGAACCTGGCAACAAATGGAATATTTGTTAAATGAACCTGAAACGAATTTTAAAAAATGAGATAGGAAAACAAATATTTCATGATTAACTTGAAAAACGTTTGCTATTCTCTGAAATAATATATATACTATACATACTTATATAAATTCTTCTCAAGACGATCTTGAAAAGGCAATGACAATTTACTTCAATCAGAACAAGAACCAGAAGAATTTGGGTTAAACTGTTCTGAGCAGGCAATTATTTGTTTCTCTTTGAAGCACATGAATGGAAAAAAAATGCTGCACCTTCTAGCTTGTTAGCCAGATTTACAGAAATGCATGAGCTCTTGGCAAACAAAAAAAAAAACACATTGGTGGCAGCTTTGGCTGTACTGTGTGAGAATCAAGGACCCTGAAAGTGATGCCACATGAAAACACCTAGCAAGTGACAGAGAAACGGCAGTATCTGTGGGGCAGAGGCAGAGTTCAACTATCAAAAAAACCCAAGGCTAGCCAGGCATGATAGCACATGCCTGTACAACTAGGACTTTGGGAGACTGAGGTAGGAGGACAAGTTCAAGTCCCACCTGAGCAACTTAACAAGACCCTGTCTCAAAATAAGGAATTTCTTTAAAAAGGGGCAAGGGATGTAATTCAGTGGTACAACACTCCTGAGTTCAATCCTCAGTGCTGCCAAAAAGAAAGAAAAGTGCCAGGCATGGTTGCACATGCCTGTAATTCCAACACTTAGGAGGCTGAGGCAGGAGGATCACCATGAGTTCGAGGCCAGCCTGGACTACATAGTGAGACTGTGTAAAAAGAAAGAAAGAAAGAGAAAGCAAGCAAGCAAGCAAGCACGAAAACAAAGGCTGTCTGCTAGATTGTCTTTTGTTACAAACTGATCTAAGTATCTTTCTAATAAAGGAGTGAACATGTAAAAACAAGAACACTTTAGCATAGCTACATTATTTTTTAACTCAACATTGGGCCATCTGCAAATTTCCTCCAAAACTTTTTTTCTTTTAAAGAAACAGGATCTCACTATGTGGCCAGAGCCAGACTTAAAGCCCTGAGTTGCTGGTACTATATAGGTATGCACTATAAAATCAAGGTGTGTCTGCCAGGGATTTAGTTCAGTGGCACAGTGCCTGCCTGACAAGTGTGAGATTCTGAGTTCGATGTGTGAGGTTCTGAGTTCAATCCCTGGTATCAGGGGAAAAAAAAAAAAAAAAAATCAAAGTCTGTCTTAATAGATACATTGAAGTCAGTCAGAGCTTACCCACCCCACCTCCAGGAAAAGCTATCATGGCATAATACGTCTATATGTCGTCTGTAGATAGATGAATATGATTGTAACTATAGTCTGCAGTACATCCATTTTTCAACGTTTAATACCTTGGTGTTAATCAAGACTGTGGGTTACTTGTGACCGCCTTTCCTCACCCCATCAAAAGTATATCACATGTTTTCAAAGGAGTTTCAGAATCCACTGAATGTTAAGAAGCACTGAGGCCAGGGCTAACCCTCCCCGTGACTCATTGTCCAACCTTCACAGCCCGCTGTCGACTATTCAACACTGTCAGTCTCACCTTCTTCTTGAGCTGGCTCATGACATCAGCCAGGGCCCAGCTGTCATCATACATCCCCCACTTCTCGGTAAAAACGAAGTCAGGGTTGAAATCAGCACTGCGGTTCTTCTGCAAGGCTTTCTGCTTTCGGCCCAGCACAATGGGCCCCTGGGAAGAGAACAGACAGGGTGACTATGGGGCGAGATGAAAGAAGAAAGGAAGGTGGCCCATAAGAGAACAGAATTACACAGGGCCAAACAGGTAACTAGGAGAAAATGACTTATTCACACATTGAGAGAGTTTTAACACACCTCTCTCAGAAACTGATAAATCAGGCAAGCCAAAATAGGTTTGTAGAAAATGTCACTGACACAATTCCACTGAACACACAGTGAACACAGCTCCTACCCCTACAGAATGTATGCAGGATGTAAAAAGTCCAACTCATAGAAACAGAGTAGATGAGGTGGTTGCCAGGGGCTGGGATGTCGGGAAAATGGGAAGAGAAAAAAGAAGCTGCCAAGAATCACGCCAAGGCTTCTGGCTTGAGATGGGAACAGGATAGAAAGATGGGACGGCGAGGGAGACCAGGAGCGAATATGCAGAGGCTGAGAAGAGCAGAGGGAAAACACCTGGGCTGAATCTCTGAACTGCAAGCGCCTTTTTCCTGCCCAAGTGTATTGTCTGTCACCTCCCACTCCAACGTAGGCTTTCTGGAGGGTGGCGCTTATGTTGTCCACTGCTAAGTCGCAACAGTAAACACTACGTCTAGCAGCGTTCAGTAAACCTTAAGGATCTCTGAACAGGAACCATGACTGACTTCACCTCTGGACCTCTATTAGGCTGGGCCTGGATTAACTATCACGTCAGTAGACCGATACTGTGTCCAGCAGGGCGACACTAATAACATGGCCAACAGAACAGAGGGGCAAGAAAGCTAACGGCAGTTGAACTGAGGATATCGGGATCCTGCTGAGCCCTACCCTGGGGGACGCTGAGGATTCGAGGACAAGGGCCTGAGGAATCGCGAGGACGGGACGCTGTCATGGTATCCCATGGGGCCGGGGCCCTGCCCGCAGCTGTCTTTCATAACCACTGCCCGGCTCATACCTCTTCCTCCTCATCTCCAGAGTCAGACTCTGGCTCCATTGGCACCTCGTCATCTTCGCCTATCGTCCCGATTAAACCGAGCTCCGCAAGCATGGTGAAACAGAACCCACTTCCGGAAGTGAGCAGCACGGCTGTCAGGCCCGCCCTCCTCCTTGACTTCCTCTTGGTCACTGCTGACATAACTTCCTTTTACCGCCCTCGCGGCCCACGCCTACCACACACCTAGAGCGCGCATGCGTAAATTTTGGGCGTGGTTTCATGTGGCGACGACATCGAGGGGGCGTGGTTTTATTTAAAATTCCATTGTCTAGGACGAGGCTCAGAAAACCGTAGACATCTGCGCAGTTTGCAAGACGTCTGGAAGAAGAAAGAGAGAAGATGTGCTTTGCTAAGCTCTATTATCTGTACGTTCGTTAAAAACTTGTGGCAGAAAATACAATGAATGGTTAGCACTTCTAAATAAGTGATTTTTACTTTCCACGATATTCACTTTCATGAAAATGAACGTAAGAACTACAGACGTGTTTACTAAGTGCTAGAACTGATCTAAGTACTTTTACACATATTCACTAGTTGAATCCTTACAAAACCCATGGCCTGCAGGTATCCATTACTGTTGCCATTTTACAGATGAGACTGGAGCCTCACAGAGGTCCCAAGGTCACAGAGCCAATTACTAACAGTCAAGATTATAAACTAGGCAGTGGCAGCAGGGTTCTTAGGGAAAGGGACTCAGAGTTTACTGATAATTTTTCCTCTCATCCACTCGTTTTATTTGTATTGGTGTTGAACTCACTGTGTGACCCAGGCTAGCCTTAAACTCACAGCAATCTTCTTGCCTCGGCCTCCTGAGTGATGGAATTACCAGCGTGCACTACCATGCGGGGCTTCCTCTCATTCACTTACGAAATCTTAAAGTCTGCTCTTGTGTCTCCTGCAGGCAACTTTCCTTTACATATCACTTCCTATATGAAGTCACCTGATAGCACCTATCCGCCCTTCCTAATCATGTTCCACCTACAACAGTCGTAGCGGTATCAGACAACTAGTTTCCATTGGCCATTTTATCGCAATTTTTTTTCATTTTTGAGGGTACAATTTGATGGCATTAATCCACTCATGATATTTTACAGCCATAGCCACTGTTTCCAAAACCGTTTCATCACCCTAAACAGGAACATTGTAACCATTAAGCAATTACATTCCCACTCTACTCTCCCCAGACCATGGTAACCTCTAATCCACTTTCTTCATCTATGATTCCACCAATCCTAGATGGTTCGTGTAAAGGACGCTATACAATAACTGTCCTTTTGTGTCTGGCTTGTGCTCTTAGCATAATGTTTTTATCCATATTGTAGCAAGAGATGAAGGGAGGAGGAGAGAGGAGAAGGGAAGGAGATAAATAAGAATTAAGCTGTTATGTACACGTACCAATTCCCCATGAGGAATGCAATCATTATGCCCTGCAAATATGGACTAATAAAAAAATAAAAATTGAAAAATTACAGCTGAATAATGGTGTATTGCTTGTGTAAACCACATTTTGCTTATTTATTTATCTGTTGATGGACACTTGGATTGTTTCTACCCTTTGTGAACAATGTGGAATAAACACTGTGGTACAAAGGCCTGAGTCCCTGTTTTTTGTTCTTTTGAGTACAGACTTAGGATGAAATGGCTGGGTCATATGATAATTTTATACTTGGCTTTCTGAGAAACCACAAAACTGTTTTCTACAAAAGCTGCATCATTTTCCATTTCTACCAATAATGTACGAGGGTTCCAATTTCTCCACATCCTCACCGATGCTTATTTTTTGGATGACAGCTGGGATGGCTTTAAGTGGGGGTTGTAATGGTTGTGAGTTTTATACTCTGGCTTCAGATACAGAAGCTTGGGAATGAAGAACGGCTAACACTTTCCTGGTGTTATTCCTTAGCCCAGTGTATCTTAACCCACAGATCCTAAAGGAAGATGTACCTTTCCAGAATGGAAAAACCATTCTCATGAGAATGTGACACGTAACCAAAAACTTGCATCAGCCTCCTGAAGTCCATCCAGTTACCCCAATGAAATCCTTTCTTCCAGACAATGGACAGCAGAGGCTTGATGTGACGTGATTCATCTTCTTTCTACCTCTTTTTGCTTCCATCCCACCAAGTTCAAATTCAAGTCCCCATCTCCCTTGGGATCAGATCCTACTTGGCTCTGCACAGAGCAGTGTTAATATTTTAGGAAAAGCTGCCCAAACGAGGCTTATTAGCTCAAAATTTATCTAGCCTATCTCAGCCCCCTTCGAGACTGAGGACACCAGTGGGGGCGGGATTTAGCTCAGTAGTTCCGCTGCCTGCCTTGCAAGTGCAAGGACCAGAGTTGAATCCCCGGTACCACACACACACACAAAAAAGACTGAGGACACCAGGATGAGAGCAGCTAAAGTCATTTTCAGGGCTTGCAGGGACACTCACTTGCCAGCATTCACAACATCCAGTTCCACACCCCCTAGAGGGACACCTAGAAGTCTCCAAACCCCCTAGTCACCTCAGTTCCGGGAAAGGCAGAGCCTTGCAGAGCACCCCTGAGGTTCCCGTCCTCCAAACAGGAGCCATCACAGGCAAAGACAGTCACCCCCTGGGAAACAAATGCCCCTGGGACCATGAGGATTCCTCCAGAGCTCCGGCAGCCGGAACTGAGACAGTGACCCACCGGCCCACAAAATCCACAAAGCCAACCCACAAAAGCTGGCCTCACGTTTTTGTGAGTGGCCACCGAACCCCTGCAACACAGCCAGGCCCTCCAGTTACTCCAGGAAGAGGCTTCTCCCAGCCTCCCTTACTTTCTAATTTTGTCTGATAAACATTTCTATATCTCACTGATACAGCCTGAAATTCTTTATTTGTGATGTGAGTCAAGAACCAAGTTGAGGTCCCCATCTCCTCTTTGGGGCTCCTCCTCACACCTCATCAGTGACATTCCCACTGGTCTCTCTGATTTTACTCTTGCCTCTGCTCGCATTCCTGCTGCTCGGGACAGAAATCTTTTAAGAACTCAAATGGTACTGCTATGGGCCTTGCTTCAATTCGGCCGTACACTTAGAACAAAATCCTGACATAGGCAACGTGCGCGCTTTAGTCCCGGCCTATTTCCCAGCTCTGCTTCCTCTTGCTCTTGCTCTCCTCCTTGCTCCCTGTGCTCCCGCCACACTGCCCTTTCACTGTCCCTCACACAGCCAGTCTCACATCTACCCCCACCCCCTGGCCTTTGCACTGGCTGCTCCCTCTGCCTGGGATGCTTCTCCTTCTGCCTCATGCATGACTGACTCTTTCTCATCCTCCAGATTCTGCTCAAAAGACACCTCCCTGGAGATTCCCATGTTGATTACCTCACAAACCAACAGAGCCACCCTGCAGATCCTCTGTGTCCCATCCCTCTCTGATTCACCTCAGGGTTCTCGGCACCCCTTGAAACCATCTCAGGTATTTGTTTGGTGAACTCCTTGGAGTCTGTCTTAGCTGTGAGCTCCAGAAGGACCTCAGCTCTCCTACTTAGCACTGCATCCCCGGTCCAGTGCTTGGCACAGGGCAGGTGCTCAGTCAGCACGAGATGAATGGATGAGGGAGTGCAGGTCCTTGTGTGTTTCGGGTGTGTGTCAAGTGTGCGTGCCAATTTCTCCTCCACTGTGCCGGATTACAGATCACTCTCGCTCCCTCCACCCTGACCTGGGGTCCTCAGAGCAGGAACCACACCCCATAGCTAGGAACAGTGCTTCCCACACCACTCTTACCGAAGGACAAGCGTTTTTGTTTGTTGAGACACGGTCTCACTATGCAGTCCAGAGCAGCCCCATACTTTTTACAGAACAAAAAACTGGCCTCGAAATCATGATTCTCCTGCCTCGGCCTCCCGGAGTGCTGGGATTACAGGTGTGTACACCAGGCCTGGACCAGCATTTAAAATATCCAGCCCATGGCAGACTGATATTTTTGTAAAATATAATAAAAATGTTGAGGCAATGTCAGTTTGCCAGCAAACATTCTGAATGCTTGTGATCCATTTCTGTACTTCTATCGTCATGAGCAGGTAAGGAAGGGATAGTTTACAAGCGGAATCAGTCCGGTCCACATTTTGAGTCGCCCCACCTTGGAACGGCATAGTAGGCACCAACGTTCTGAGAACTGCCTTGAGCCCTTAGAAGAGCAGCACAGTTCCATCACACACGATTAAAGGCTTGGTTCACTACAGAACATCGACAAATGCCCATGGCCAGGGCAACACTGTTCTGTGCAGCTTACAGCAGTGATGAAAACGTCCGCATGGGCCAGGGTGGTGACCACCAGCCATGTGCAGCTACTGAGCATTCACATTATAGCTAGTGGGGGAATTTCATTTTTTAGTATATATATATATTTTTAGTGTTAGGAACAGAACCCAGGACTCCTGCATGCTAGGCAAATGTTCGACTCCTGAGCTATACCCACTGAGGCAACTGCTTTTAATAATACAGTCACGTCAAGTTATACCTTTCCAAACTCAATGCTGCTATCTCCGTTCACACCTAACATCAAACCAACTTCCAAGATCTAACTATTCTACTTCCTAAACATAGATTCGACCTCACACCATTCTCTCTCTTGCAACTCTGTAGATGACACCGCCATTCGAGGACCCAGGCATCCTTGATTTCTCTCCTCCTCAACCCCTCCCCAAGCCCCACAGTCATGGTGTCCTGCTAATATCGCCTCCCACACAACAGCAACTCTCCATTTCTGTCCACCGCCAGCCCTGCCTCTCGTGGCCATGCGCCTCCTGCGTGGCTCCCATGCAGCCGTGTGGCTTCCACTCCCAGCCCAGTACAGTGCGAGACTCTCGAACAGCTTCCTATTGTGCTGTAGGACAAAGACACATCCCCTGCTGCTGGGCCTCCAGGCTGCTCTGTCTCACTCCAGACACTAAATTGTCAAGCTCTCTTCCTTCTTCTCCTTTTTCTCCCTCCTGCCTTGCCCCCTCCAACGTTTTGCAGTCCTGGAGATTAAACCCAGGCCCTCATGTATGCCAAGCAAGTGCTCTGCCGCTGAGCTATGTTCCTAGTCCTTTTTCCTCTTCCATTTCTTTTCTTTTCTTCATTTTTTTTCTTTTGAGACGGGGTCTCAATGTACAATC